CTTGTCAGTCACCCACCTCATGGTGTTTTGTTACAAATGCAGTGATAGTTCACCCAAAGTGCAGGCACAAGAATGTTCCAAACACCCGCACTAATAACATGTCTAATAGTAAACACCCAGATTAGAATCACCGGCTCCAAAGTGATGGGCACTATATGGCGGTGAGACAGAGAGCTGTTACTGTGTGCAGTAATGGGGATAAGTCTTTTGGGGGTGGGGTACTAAATAATGAACCCTGATCCTCGTGCATACCAGGCAAACAGCCCATCACCCAGCTACATCCCAAGCCCCACTGATAAATCTTAGAAGCATAATTTTGGACTAAAATAAGCTACACATTAAAATGTACATAGCATTGGATTATGTTTGGATGAAATACAAAAGTAAGCAAAACAAAATTTTCTGACAGTTGTTACCCAGTGAGGACTGTCTGGAGAGAGCCAGTGAAATGGTCGTGTTCTGTACTTTTGGCCTTGGCTGTGTAGGTCTGTAAAGTTCATTGGTCTGTTTGCATGCATTTGTGAGCCTACTGATGGATAATTTTAGGATTTAGCAGCCTTTTAAAAAGGAGAATTTATGTTTAAGGAACGGGCAGGGTATTCCTCAGAGAGAAGGCATGAGGGCAGTGTAGGTACCCTAAAGACGTAAGACTTATGGCAAATCTGCAGTAATTAAGGGTGGGGAGCATCTGTACAGGGTCAGACGATGGGTTGGCATCGGTCAGACTGTTGTAATTTAAGAAATATTGTGCATGAGAGAAAGACGCCGTGTGACAGGGTTCAAGCAGAGGAGTTTTTATTATGGACAGAGATCATGAAAAGGGGAAAGAGAAAGGGGAAGACCAGCCTCCAGAGACAGAAGCAGCAGGAGAAAGGATAAGAGAGGAAAGAGGAGGAGGAAGAGAGAGGAGAGGGAGAGGGGGTACACAGACAGACAGACAGAGAGAGGGAAAGAAAGAGAAGGATGGGAGCTGGGCAGGCCCCTTTAAAAGAGAACACAGTGAACAGGCACAGGTGGTACTCTTAGTGACTGCAGCTGAGGGCGTATCCTGCCAGAACCCCAAGGAGAGGCCAGTACAGATGCCTGAATGCTAACACAGACCACAGAGAGCAGAAGCAAACACTGTGTTTATGGAAATGTGAGTAGAGGTCATGGGGGAGGAGGAAACTTTGAGGAAACAGTGCTGGAGCAGTTGGTGTCTGTATAAAAGGCAGAGTCTTTTATCATACAAAGACTGTGGTAGACAATCTGGAGGGGTTGAGGTAAAGCACAGGAGAGAGTCGTGATGAGGAACCGGAGCGGGGGGGGGCATCAAGGGGGTTGGTGCTGTAATCATGTAGGATGGAAAACAGACTCTTCATTAGGAGACACCGCAGAGTGGGAGACGCCGTGACAACACAGATAATCAGCAAGAGTAGTGTCTAGGACAGAATACACACTGATGGTGAGACATTCACCCCCTAAAAGATACTGATGACAGACCAGAGAAATAATTCCATTTGAGTCTAGCTCTGTGCGTCGTCCTTGAGTTGACTGTGTCTACTACAGCAGCCCGAGTGCCTGGCACACCCTGGCACAGGTGATTCATGGAAGCAGTGTGCTTACAGCTCCCTGCAAGACTTGACAGCAGCTTAGCCAACGGGAGAGTCTCTCCCTAGCAGTTGTTACTGCTTATAGAACCTTGGGCAGGGGACTTTGAGTCTTGTAGTTTTCAGGATTTTTCTGAGCCTTGTAAGTTTCCTTTACTTGGGCTTTGTATGTTTTGCTTATTTCCTGAGTCCTTGGAGCCTTTCTCCTTGCCCCAGGAGAGAGTGTTTCAGTTGGGAGGAAATAGCTACACCAGGACTATTCTTTAAAAGGAAAAAGAAGCAAAGGATCTCCGTGGGAAAGTGGTGAGGGGTGACAGTCATTGGCAGATGAAGCGAACCACTGTAAGGAGACAGAGCAGCTTGAACCCTCACAAGGAATCGGGAACGTGCAAACTGAGATTGTCGTGAGGGCGGTTCGTACCCACTAACAGAGCAGAAATTTATCTGGCATTGCTGAGTATGTGACGCGTGTGGGCAGCACTGCTGGGGGGCAGAGACCAGCCACTCTGGGAGTCAGTCTGGTGACGTCTTACCATGAAAACAGTTTTTGCTGTACACACAGCCTAGCATTTTCATTCCTGGGTATGTGCTCTAAGAATTTATATGTATGGAGTAGGCCTTGCCAAGAATTTTCATAACCCTGAAAAAGCTGTAAGTTGTAGATATTAGTGACATCTGATAACTCGGAAGAAGAGGTTAAGGAAAAAGAGTGATGCCGTGAGCTGCAAACCTTCTCTGCCCAGTTGCTGTCTTGTGACCACTGAGAACGGGGGCACTGATGTCAGAGAGAGGAAAGAGGTGAGTGTTTATTAGGTAAGAAAAAGCTGCTTGCAGCAGAGAGGGGACCCACCAGTGGGCTGCTGGCAAAGGCGGCGTCTGGGGTTTATTTATGGACTTGGCTTGGTGTGGTGTGTACAAAGTAAGTGAGAAGTAAATACCAATTAGGAGAGGGCTCACAGAACTGGAAAGGGCTCTGTTCCCCACCCCAGTACAGACAGTTGCTGTGGGGAAGCAAGACCCTTGAGGGTGGAGGGAATCGGGTTCCACTTCCATCTCCTGCATCGGGTTTCTGGTCACAGCCCGGATCCCTTTGTCCCCATCTCTGTGTGTTCCTGGGCTCTGTTCACCTCCACCTCCATGGGTATGCAACACGGTGGTATTGAATAACAGCGAAAATAAGCCAATTATGAGAAAAGAGAACAAACACACTTAGGAAGAAAGGTGAGCTTCAGGAGACTGTATGACGTCTCGTAGCAGTTGTACGATAGTTGTGAATGTGCAAAGCCAAACATTGCTGTACTTACAGATGTATCTATGTGTAATAAAATGAGTTAGAAAGCAATGGAGTGGAGGTCTAGAAACTTATGCGGTTAGGAGGGACATGCAGGTGGCTTCAGGGATGATTGGTGTGCCTGATCCGTAACTTACATCGTTGTGCGTATTAGTGAGTATCAAATGCTACACACTGAATATTCTGATAGAACTTATTACCTATAAGATTAAATTTCTGTGAAGAACTCTTGCCGACAACAAGAAACTCCAGAAGTAGGCTGTCTGGCTCATAATGTGCTTTCTCCAGTGAGCTGTGTTATGACTTTGGGAAGTTACTCAAGTGTTACTCATCCCAGCATTCCTCATCTGTAGTGCTGCCTATACTTCCTGCCTGGCCACTGGCCAGTCAGCATTTATTCACCGTCAATAAGAGAAGCATACATTCACAGCATACAGGATACCCCCTTCAGTCTTGTGCCTCAGTGTTTACATCTGTAAATGGGAACAGTGAAAATGCGGGGTTATTTTACTTGCTAAATGCATTTATAGAGGGAAAAGCCCAGAGCAAAGTTGGATAATGAGGTTTTCCAAGGGTCAACTTACATTGGCAGTAGCTTGGAGGGCCAGCAACTGACCACCTATTACTATCAATTTTCTTATTGGAAAAAAAATGGGGAAAGGGAAGTGGGATTGTGGTAAAACAAGATATGTGTTGTAAGTGATACACAAAGCACATGAGGTATTTAGTTGTACAGTGGAGCAGTTTGATTTATCCTGGTGGATTTCCTAATTCCAAAACTGAAGAACTAATTTCATGGTAAGGAACCACAGATGCAAAGATGACTGCATGGGATCAGGCATGTTCTCCAGGACAGAGAGTGACTACATGGGGTGCAGGCATGTTCTCCAGGACAGAGAGTGACTACATGGGGTGCAGGCATGTTCTCCAGGACAGAGAGTGACTACATGGGATCAGGCATGTTCTCCAGGACAGAGAGTGACTACTCAGGATCAGGCATGTTCTCCAGGATAGAGAGTGACTACACAGGATCAGGCGTGTTCTCCAGGACAGAGAGTGACTACATGGGGTGCAGGCATGTTCTCCAGGACAGAGAGTGACTACACGGGATTAGGCATGTTCTCCAGGAAATAGAGTGACTGCATGGGTGCAGGTATGTTCTCCAGGACAGAGAGCACAGCATGAGTGAGGGTCTTCACACTGTCCCTGCTGAGACTCTGTTGAAGTCCTGTTAGAGTGACTTTCAAACAATTCCGAATGTGCATGAACGGGGAGACATTGTCTAATTGTGGTCTGAGAACAAGCACTGCCCTCCTTCCAAACAGAGTCTCAGGGCCTCTTCCTCAGCTTCAGCAAATGCAATGAGACAATTGACCGAGGGTGTGGAGGGACAGACAGTGTGAGTGGGGAGTGTCCTTAAACTCAAGACGGCAGTGACACTGTCCTTTGGAGAGGACCCCCCCCCCGCCGTGGCAGCTCACTGACTTTACCGCCTCCACTGCCTTGCCCCCCAGGAGTGACGGGCTCCAGGAGCTGGCCGAGGTGACTGCAGAGCCTGCCACGTTCTCCCCTCACTTCCTGACAGGGACAAAGCTGCATCTGCTTCCCGGGGACAAAAATGCCTCTGCTTTTATGTTCTCTCTTTCTTTCCCCTTTTTCTTTTAAGGTGAGCGTGCTCTTATTTTGACACGGCTTTCCCCAGCACCTTCCCGTGGCAGTCAGTAAGATGAGCTGCTTCTTGCCTCCTTCCAGCTGGTCTTCTGTTGTCTAGACACTGGAGTCAGAGGCTCTGAGGCTTGTTTTGCCTGTCTGCACTTGCCGCAGCATTTGTCAATATTAAATTTAATTTGTGCTCAGAGCACTTCGCTGACGGTGAGAACACAGAGCTCGCTGAACTTTACCTTCCCCTCGTGTTCAGTCCAGCCAGCATTAGCAAACCTAATGAACTCTGCAAGGTCGTCCTACCCAGCGTAGGTCAATTCTGTTGACTGAACACCTTGTATGTTTAGAAACTGACCTTGTAAAGCCCACTTGGAATTTATCTTACCTCCCAACCCGCCGAGTCACTCCTTTCACAACAGAATGCATTTGTGTCCAAGTATGAATCCAACGGGTCAACATTAAAGGGGTCAACATTGACAACAGACATTTATTGAGCGCCTATTGTGTGCAAGGCACTGTACTAGGTATGGGGCTACAAAGACAAAGGAGAGACAGCCCCTGCCCTCAAGGAGCTTACAATCTAGTCTAACAGACACACATAGAAAGACACAGGACAGTCCAAGGTAGCATGTCATATTAGGGCACAAATACAAAACAGGACCTCAGCCTTTCATTTCATTTACATGTCAATACCCTGAGTAGGTGGGGGAGTGAGCTATAACCTTTTAAGCCTTCGGAACAGCCTGACCTCTTTCCACTTCAGATGTCTTCTGGAATGTGCTAAAACCTAGGCCATCTGTTAACTCCTCTGCCCTACCTCCTCAGGCTTTGTATTTTAGTTTTTTTTTAGGGTTTTGTTTTTGTTTTTGTTTTTGAGAAACTTCAGAGAAAGTGACACTCTGCCCCGCTTTGTTCTAGATGACCCCCTCCTTCCCCAATCTAGGCCAGCCAGCAGGCACATCTACAGCACCTTTGCCTTGGAGTGGGGTAGACTCTAGGGGGCAGCCACCACGCCACTGCTCTCGGGGGCCCCACACTGAATCTGTTCCCAGACAGGTCTAGAGTTAACAGCGCACCGGGAAGACCTTCCGACACAACGCTGGAGGGTTTTAGCAGACAGGAGGATCTGGGCTGATGTCAAAGAGATGGGGGCTCGAGAGAAGCAGGAAATGAGGCAGGGGAGTAACCGGTGTGAAATGTACCGACCAGGAGAGAAGATGAGGCAGGGAAGTAACCGGTGTGAAATGTACCGACCAGGAGAGAAGATGAGGCAGGGGAGTAACCGGTGTGAAATTTACCGACCAGGCGAGAAGCATCTGTTGGGGTGGGATTCCCCTGGGAGACCCAGGGTCATCAGCCGGGGTGAACATGTGGGGAGGTTCACAAGGGGTGCGTAGGTGCTTAGACAGCGCCGTCTTCATCCTAAAGGGACTCTCCATCCCCTCCCACTCCCTACCATCCTTCTGAATTGCCATGCGAAAGTTGAAATACAGTGTTTATTTCGACATGAGACCATGTCTCCATTTTAAGGTCATTTGGGTGTCTCAGAGTTGGGGAGACAAGAGGTGCCTTGTCTCTAGATAGCTTCCAAGAGGCCGCATCGCTTACCCTTTAGGCTCAGGACTTTGCTGCCTGCTTTCCTTTAGTTTTGTGAACCACTGAGCCCCATCCTCTTAGGACCCGTGTGCCCCTGAATCAATCTGTGTCTACGCCTTAGCCCTAAGGAGTATAGAGCAGGGTGAGATCAGAGCAGAGGGCTGAGCTCCCTGATGCCCGTGTGTGGGAACCGGAGTCACACAGCCGAGTCCCCACGCGGCACGCTGACTATTTACCTCCTAATGTTCCCTTAATGTGTGCTTTCTTGGGTGAATATTTACTGTAGAATATTAAATGTGAGATTCCTCTTTTTATGGGCCATTTGAAGTGATTGATTTTGTTTGTGAGTCCCTGTATCTTTGCCCATAATGGCTATCTATTGTAATGGCCTCTGCCAAATGTTCTTGTGTTGAAATAACAGAAGCCATGGATCGGCCAGCTGTGGCATCATATTACTGTGGTCTTAAAAGCTAGGAGGAGGCTGATGATGCCACTGGGGAGAGAAGAAAAAGGTATGGGACACGCCAAGTGTGACTGAGACTTCCCATATCCCGAAATCATGAAGTCTGTAAACAGGGTTTCGAGTCTTTTATATCCGAGTTTATGTTTAATGGTGTTGAATGGCATTAAGCCTGACAGTTGTGAAATGATAGTGGTAAGACATGAATTCAATTGCCCACAACCAGGTCCATCAGCGCAAGCCGCCAGAGCTCTCGGCGTTTTCTTTAATACTGCAGTAAAACCATGACCCTAGTGATAATTTCTTACACTTAGCTACACCATGTTTTTTTTTTTAATAATGAAGTCACATATTGTAGCTACATGTGAATTTAAGATATTTTCCTGTGCAAGAGCCAAGATTCTGGGCATTTGCTTGCTTCTTGTTCTTTTGAGCATTTGAGAGGAGGAAATCAACAAAAGATGGGCTTATCTTGATGTTCCTTATGGTATTTTTCTTCCTTTAAAAAAAAAGAAACCCACAAAACCTAAAAATACTCAAACATGTACAATAGAGGATCAGGTGGCAAAGGTGCATTCTGGCGTGTAGGCTTTTCCAGATTTCCCTAAGGATAGGAATTGTTAAAGGAACCACTTGCATTTCAACAGACAATTTCTTCAAGGAACTGTGATGGTGACCCGCCAATCAGCTGAGTGTAGTTCACACCCCTCTTATGTTCATAAGAAGAAGGTTCCGCTGTGGCAGAATAAAATTCGTTTTCCTACAAAACCTTCAGAAGGCACCCGAGGAAAGAACCCAGATAGCACCTTCAAATTCTTTTTACTGACTTTTAATAACTCAAGCCATACCATACCTCAATAATACTTTTTGTTTGTTTTTTTGCTGTCTGAATACCTGAACTGTATTTGCATCTCCACAATGGTGCTCTGCATAATTAATAGTCCTGATTAATGAAAGGGAGAGGGACAGCATCACTAACGAAGACGGGGAAAGAACCGGCGATGTGAAACACCTTTAATCGCAGGCCCTGTCCCGTGTGTAAAGCAATGCCTGTTCCCTCGTGCCATCAGCTGCTGCCCTCAGATCTGTCACTAGAGACACTAATGCTCCTTTGGCAGTGTGCAAGGAAAAATCTAGTATAATTCTTACTGTTCTTAGCAATATGACTCTTTAAAATGAAAATCTGTAATCCTATTGATCTTGGATTTGAATGGAGTGAGTGAGTGAGTGAATCCTTCATATTACTTCTAAGACCTGCCCCCATTGGGCCAGAACGGTTCATGGGACAGTGAGCTGTGACCTGGTGGATCTCTTTGCATTCTCTTCTCGGAAAAGGGCAGCTCTTGGCACTCATACTCAGGGAGAATCTAGAAGCCTCCACTCCTCGCGCCGTCTCTCACTTTCTTAGTGAGGCAAGGGAATGGAGTTTAGGCAAGAGAGGCCCGAGAGGAAACCCGATTTCCACCAGAGGACCCTAACATCTTCACCCTGACTTGAAGTTTCCGGCTACTGTCAGAGCCCCGGCAGTCCAAGTGTGCAGTCCCCATAGAGGTCAGCTAGGGGCTTGTACGATCTTAGACTTGCAAGAAGAGCTCAAGGGATCTTCTGGTACGTTCTGAAGATGAGGCAAGCAGAACTTAATGAGAAATTGCTTGTATCTGTTGCTGCTGAAGAAAGCTATTGTATCTCTGAGTTCCTCTCATTAGCATCTTTTTGTTTTAATAACATAGTTTTTGGTTTTCAATTGTGTTCTTTTGAACATTTATGTACATTAGAAAGTGTTGTAGCTGCTCTTGTTATGAAAGAGCAATTTGCCTGGAGCTGGGGGGGGGGAGTTCAAACAGTGCCGCACATTTCCATGTCACACACTGACTTCAAGCTAATAATGAGCGTTGTGAATGGAGTAACTCATCAGCCTGATTCTAGGCCTTTCCAACCACCATCAGGGTTAAAGAGTCATGAAGAATAAATTGCCACATAATCTATAAAAATACTGCCTAGAGTACACTAAAAAACTCTTAATAAATAAATAGCAGACATTTGCTTTATGAAAATCATTGGAGATGTACTCTTCAGAAACATGTCCGTACTTTTCAGGCTTTTTACAAATCACAGAGTCTGACTAATGGCAAAGACTATGGGTCAGGCGGACGTCTGTGAAGAAATGCAATGGAAGGGGTTGGGCTGCTCCTGTTTCGGTTTCGAAGGCAATACTTCCACCCTGGAGTGTCCCTAGCCATGGCAGTGTCACGGAATCGAGGGTTCAGCTCCTCTTTCGGAGACGGGACACTCATTAGGATGTATACATTCTGAAACTTTCTCTGGCCCTGGGGCTCTGTCCGTGGTGCTGAAGGGCACCGCTGTCCAGTTCCCATCCCCTGCCGGGGGTTCAGGTCCTTCCTTTCCTGGCTGATGGCGTGGACGCCACGCCTTGCTGTCTGCCAGGTGCACGCCTCAGAACACGGGCTTGTCCTCCCCACGGTGCTCAGCGGGCGATTCTGGTTTCCAGTCTGGCTGGAAAAAGTGGATATTGAATGTCCGCGCCCAGTTCTTAAATACCCGCTTCTCTGTGATAAAACGGTGGTGACTGCCCTTGCGTCCTCGCTCGTGGGAGAGGTACATTGTACATTCATCGGGTCCCGAAGGCTCGTAGTAATGGTACGGCACTGAAGGGTGCTTCGGATCCCTGTGGGAGGAAAGGGAGACAGCTATTAAAGCAAAACGGCAAAACAAAAGGAAGAACCACACACAACATAAGGCGTGCCTTTTCACTGACCACTTCCAGAAGGGTGGTGCTATTCTTACGAGCTGACGGACACAAATCATATTCCTCTCATCAAATGAACTTCAGCGGACGGTTTTGCTGGTGTTGAAGCAGTCAGAAAAAGTTTTTTTTTTTAATTTTTTTTGAGGCTGTAAAATGCAAGCACGCCGTGTCAGGGCTTAGAAACGCGGCCGACGCTCACGCCGAGGGCTTCAGGCACCGTGTGTGTGTGTGTGTGTGTGTGTGTGTGTGTGTGTGTGTGTGTGTGTGCACGTGCACACTACATCATGCTATCGCCTCCAGTTGCCAGCTCCCCAGAGCCAGCCTGTTTGCCTCCCCGGCCGGCGCTGAGCTCTGTCTCCACAGGGGCCTCCCAGTGAGGCCTGACCTGGCTCCTCTCTGGAGTCAGCACACCCCCTCACCCCCCAGCGTTGCTCACTCTGCTTCAGGTGCACTGGACTTCCTGACCACCAGCTGTACCAGCCTTGTTCCGCCTCAGAACCTCTGCGCTGTCTGGAATCTTCCTCACCAGTCCATCCTTCTCCCTGCCAGTGGCAGTCAAATGTGCCCGGCTTCTGCTGCTCTAGATGAGAATGCACCCCCCCATCACAGTGGGCTCGGATATTTCAGTGTTTGGTTCTTGGCTGGTGAACTGTTTAGGATCAGGAGGTGTGGGCCTTGCTGGACAAAGTGTGTCATGGGGGTGGGGGGTGGGGACTGGGGCTTTCACTAGCCCACTCCAGGCCTGTCTCCCTCTCTCTGCTCCCCCCCCCATGCGCTCTGGGCCATCGCTCCAGCACCACCACGTCTGCCTGCCTGTCGCCATGCACCCTGCCATGATGGTCATGGGCTCGCTCCCCCCCCCCCCAGCAACTGTAAGCAAACCCCCAGTGACAGTGACGTGCTTTCTGCGATGAGCTGCCTTGGCCCTGGCACTTCATCCTAGCAATGGGACAGTAGCCAAGACGCCCCTTGAGAGCCTCACCTGCCACTCCCTTCCATCCTCCCGTCAGCCTCCTTTAGGGTACGCATCTCCCTGACACTGCCGCTGTCCACCCATTTATGCTGTCCACTGTGAGGACAGGGGTCTGTCTCATTTCTGGGACCCAGTGCCTAGTACGGAGGTAGTAAGCAATGTTTGAGTTTCTGTCCTTGGACGGCAGGGGCAGCGGAATGCCACACCACTACGGAATTTTTCTCCTCTGATGATTCTAAGTCTGATTTCATGGGGGGGGGGGTAAGAAGAAGACAGACAGCAGGCAGCCAGCCACTGCTTCATTTCCATTCTTGTAGATGATCATGCGTCCAGAGTCTCGTGTCTCTTGGTCCAGAAACTCTCAACTCCCATCGCTTCGGGGTAGACAGCTCTAGCATGCTTTTGCTGTATCCTCTGTCTCTGCCTCAGATAAGATACTCTATCAGTTTCTTCAAGGTGGTAGACCCAGTTATGACATATGCATGCTTGTGTGTGTGTGGAGGGGGGGCGCCTTGTAATAAGGAGACAAATGTACTCTGGCATCAGACTAGTCTCCGGTCTAGAACACTGCTCCCGCTTCCTCTGGGCCTGAACACTAGACAGGTAGCTCCGTCAAGGCTTTCATCACACAACCCTTGCTGTTTTGAGCCAATAGACATGCGCAGTCTGCTGCCATGTTTATCCCAAGATACCTAATGCGTGTGTACGCCATAACGGCATGTCACAAGGACGAAAGGTCAGACACTCCTGCTGGGGAAAGGAGCAGGCTGCTGAGCAGGGCTCTTGCTGTGGCCTTTCAACACCTGACACCTGAGGCCCTCCTCTAAGACAGCTGTCCATCCCCACAGCTATCCCCAGCTTTACCCCCGCCTTCCCTCCCTCTAAGACAAGTGATCCCCAAGACCCCCTCCTGCCAGCAACCTCCAATTCCTTTTCTTTGCAGATCAATACTCAAATGAGTTTCAGAGGAGCAGCCTTCAGGGGTCAGGGATCCAAGTCTTTTATCAGGAGAGGTGTCAAGTCTGTGGCTCTGACAACAATAAACCTCTGGGCAGCTTCTCCTCTCAGGTTAACGTTGTTCCAGGAAGAGAGATTTATTTTCTTATTCCCTGCCAGCCCAGATGCTGTGCTGGGTTAACCCTTTGTATCTCTAAGTTAAGCCCGTCTGGGATCAGGGACCGCTCACCTGTCCTGTCAGTCACTGCAGTTTTCACTGACTGCCTATCCTAGACCTGGAAAAAGTCCGGTAGAGAGCATTTCCCATGTAGAAGATTCATGCTGGAGAGAGCACAGGCAGGAACTGGCCGCTACTTATAAATAACAGACAAAGAGGGACAGAAGCGCTTTCATGGTGACTCACGCCTGTAATCACAGCACTTCAGAGGCTGAGGCAGGAGGATCACCGTGAGTTCCAGGTTAGCCTGGGTTATAGAGTGGTACCTTCTCTAAAGCAAATATAAAACAACAGCAGTAAATAAATAAATCAAAACTCAAACAAGCAAACAATAAACACCAAGGAGTAGATGTGTGAAATCCATCTCTGCGGGTTCATATAGCATGACTGGGGAAGGCTGGCAAATTCATTCTGCCGTGCTATTGCCGGGGTTAATCTTTTCTTTCATATCAATTCGGCTTTTGAATGCGATTCACCCAGGTTTTAGGCATCTTATTGGCATCAATCTACTACAGAAACAATTAGGCTTCTAAAAATACGGCGTCTAGGAATGGAGGGTAATTGGAAGTCGGCTAAAGGATGCTGAGGATCAATCTGCTTATTCAGGAGGGCCATCTCTTTGAATGAAAGCTTATTGGGTTCCATATTGATCACCTACAGGGAGGTTAGATTTATGTATTTGGGTGTCGTGTTTCAGAGGTGTCCAAGTGGCCATTCATGGAAGTGAAAGTCGTTTGGACCTTGTCCAAAGAACTGAAAAGTCCTTTCCTGGGCTTTGGAATGCAGAGCTGAGGCAGGGTAGGAACTGCCCTCTGGGATGGGAGTCTGCCCTCAGCTGCAACCCACCTTTCCGTTCAGAGAGTCCTCCCTTTTGTTGCAATTCCAACGTGCCTTTTCCTCTTCCCCACCCCATGAAAACCATCAATGGCTGTGAATTTCCAAACGCAAAGGCTGTGGCACCGGACTGCACTTCTGGGGCCGAGGGAGAGGAAGGGGCTGCCCTGGGGCAGATTGGCCCAGAGTTGAGTTCCCTTACCCGCCCTAACTTCCTCAAACCAACAGTGAGTTCTGCAGAGTCACTAAGGAGGGCTGGGTTGCTCTTACTGGTCAGGGAGCAGGTGAAGAGAGTGAAGGGATTAGCATGTGATGTACACTAGGAAGAAAGGTTTAAGGAATATCACCCAGCACGTTGCTCTCGTGGACTCTGGTGGATGTCACAAGGAGAGGTCGCAGCACAAGTGGGTTTTGAAGTGTCTTTAGGTGTGAGCATCAAAATAAACAGCAACATTGGATAGCGAAACCCATGAGGCAAAAATAAATATCTACAGCCCCATGAGGATTGCAATAAAGAACGGAATGAACAGTTAACAAATGGAGAAGCCACCGGCCATTTCAAAAGAATTTCAATTAATAAACACGGGAAAAAAACCCAGGAGATGCAAAATCACTCCTAGGACGGTGCAGTAATTGTTGAAAGCATGGTGGTGGGAGAGAGTTGGGAGAAGCAAGTTATCTACATGGTCTTATGTATCTCCCTCGAGATGTGTGTTAACGACCACGTGAAATATCGTCACCGTATGACGGGTAAGCTCAGCAGGAATTCAGCCAATCAAATGATTGCTAGCCGTCAGAGGACACAGACACAGGGTCACGTTCTGCCCTCTCTAGCTTGAGGAGTTTACCTGGTAGGCTTAAAGGGACCTCAGCTCAGGCCAAATCGGGGTTTGTGGCTGTGACTCCGAAGGGGATTTCAGGACTCAACAGTTCAGTGAAGTAAAGTTGCTGATAGTATTAACGGTGTTTTCTAATGCAGGCTTAAGCATGAGGATTAAAGGAAAGAGGTATTCAGAAGAAAGTAACACACGGGAAAGTAAGACATACGCAAGCATGGATACGGGCTCCTCGAGGGAGATAGGCAATTAATTATCCCAGAATTAGCCATTTGTACCATTTTAGTGGCTCTCAAGTTGCCTCCCCAAAGGCCATTAAGAAGCCAATTTTTTCTTTCTTTCCTCTCTTGGTGTCTCGTGTGAAATGGCACCAAAATGCTGGCAAAGCCTTCAACCAGATTCCCAGGCAGAGGACCTTTCCCCCTTCTTGTGTCCCCAAGTCCCCTGCCTTAACATCACTAGTAATAAGAGACAGTGCCACCATGTCAGTTACATAGGAGATGCTCACAAGGGTTTTATCACATCTGTGGTCCCTTCCCGGGAATGAGTAGCATTGGGCTAATCACAGGGAGATTATCAGGTAAATCAGATGTGTGGGGAATTCTGCAATAGTGCCTGAGCACCGAGCAGCATTCTTCCAAGGCGACAAGGTCATGGACGACAAGAGAGCTCTGCAGAGCCTGATGGCAGGGTAGGTGAGGGTGGTGACATTCTGAAACAGGTCTTGGAGGAGATAAAGGCTATCAGCAGAGCCACGTAAGGTTTCACTGAAGTCTGGAGTTTAACTGAGTATCACACTGATGATAATGTCTCAGTTTGGTAATCAGACCACAGCTATGCAGAATCTCAGCACAAAATAGTTACATGAAGGGCAAATGGGGTCCTTATGTATGACTCTGGCAGCTTCTGTGTAAATCTAAAATATTTTAAACAGATATGTTGTAAAGACTGAATATTTTATTATCTGAATAGGTATTTTAAAACAGACAAAAGAAACTCCTTAGGATATTCTTTTCTAGTCTATCCATACAGCCAGGGTAGAGAAAGTGTGTGTGTGTGTGTGTGTGTGTGTGTGTGTATGTCTGTGTGTGTGGTGTATATG